CGTTCATTGATTTCCAATTCGAATAACTGATTGCAAATGGTGGGGGTGGTCGTCGATGATCGTAAGTGCTCTTTTGACGTTCTCTTTCGTTCGTTGTAAACTGATACAGATTAATTACCGACCTCGCCGATGGGTCGTATCTCCACGAACCGCGCGTCAACATCGTATCGCGATTTTTCACCGGTTTAAGTCTCTATGAATTCCATTGACACGATGCATCGTTAACATCATCATAATCATCGTCGCCGTCGTCATAGAGCGTTTCCTTGACAACGCGACAAAGAAGAAAGGGATCTCTTTAGACGACACTTTATTCCCTCACGCGCTTCTCTTCTTTCGTATATCATTAATGTCCCGTGAATGTTACAACAGTATCGTGCTCTATCTATCGAACATGCTAAATGAATCTCGCCTTGAGCAACAAAGAGACAAACGACAGTACATACATATTATGTACGTTATATATATATATATATATTTGTATGTATGTATATATATATTTCTGAAGATCCATAATGCAATCAATCAAGAGAACTCGTGTGTCTGTGTGCATGTGTGCGTGTGTATGTACATCGATTAATAAACGTGACGTTCCATGTTTTACAAATTAATATCAGAATGAAATGCATAACTGCTTCTCAAAATCCAATCAACACAGAGACACGACATTGAGCTGTAAACGATGTTTACGATATCGTCAATGATAATCGGCAGTCGAGGCACAATGTGTTTCGATAGCTGGACACGGATGTATTCTCTTCTGGAGAACCACTTTGTTCCGAAACACGATTGGCGGCCGATGTGCACCAGTAGAAACCGGTCATCTTACCACGTACCGGTGGCGTGCAAACGGGACGAGGACAAATCGGTGTCCCACCTCCCTACGGATGGCAAATTTGGGATCCGTGACCGCTCTTAATATCGCGGGGGGTTGGGGTGGGAGGAGGTGGTGCTCGAGGGATCACCCGGGGGGGCGGTGAGGAGGGTGGGAAAGGAGGGCGGTGAGGGAGAAGAAGGCACGAGCTGCGGAGGGACTAAACTCGATGTGTTAGTTAACGAATGCGAGAATGCGGCCTGGCGCCAACACACACGTACGCACGGTTCGACGTGTCACGCACTCCATCGCTACCGGCCTCGGTATTGGTTTATCCCTCCTACCGCCCGGCTTCCCTGGATCTCTCCCTGTTGCATAGCTTCAAGACACGCACGCGAACTTCTCGTTTTCTTCGTCGTCGTGAAAGAGGAACGACGGAAAGGAAGAAAGAGGAGCAATGCAGGAGGCAGCACCCAGCAGCAGTTTAGAGGACATAAAAGCATTAAGGTAGCGCGAGATAGTCAAAGCTAAGTTGGCGTTTCGAATTCTTGGGAGGATTCGTTCGAAACCAGTATGTGGAGCATGCCACCACCAGTCTTCTATGTTTGCTACGTTCACGAACGTGTGTGCGTGCGTGTGTACGTGGACGTGTTGTACATGTGTACGTGTTGTACATATGTACGTGTTGTACATATGTACGAGAGTCGACGATCGATGAATCGACGTAACTATTAATCAAACAGGTAGTCCAGTAGCTGACGATCGCTCGTGTCGAGGTGGTATCGAAATTGGTATTGAGATGCATCGATACCATTCGAATGTCGATCTTGCCGCCTGATCTTCCCTTTAAACATATAGATAGTAATTTACATTTACGTTTGTTCGTTTGTTACGTTTGTTAAGAATTATTATCTCAGATATATGTATATGTACACGGTACTTCTACCTGTATTTCTTCGTTTTTAAGAATTAGATCGCTTACTAAGAATTATTATCTCAGATATATGTATATGTACACGGTACTTCTACCTGTATTTCTTCGTTTTCTTTCTGCTCATTTCATTTTACATACATCACCAATGCTACTCTCTCTCTCTCTCTCTCTCTCTCTCTCTCTCTCTCTCTCTCTTCCAGTTTCTTTGGTTGGCTTTCATTTCATCCTGACATTATTGTTCAGAGTAAGGGAAACGGAGCAACGAGCTAAGCTATGCCAAGAACGGCAAAGCTCGCACCACTAAAGCAAGTTAAGTATGTACTAACGGGCAAGACTGCGAGGCATGTTAAATCGAGATAGCTACATCATTACGAAGCTGCAACTCTGGCTGGCGCCTCTCTATTTCTTGTTCCATAGGGCCAAGATGTAACCCTTACTTTTTCCCTCGTTGCATTGATACAGCGGTCTTCATTCTCCAAATATCTCCTATCTTGGGTAAACCGGACAATGTGTCATCCTTAATAACAGTAGACGTTATCAACGTTGATCATATATGTATATATATATACACGTTGCTACCTATATATACGTTACATATAGTCAGGTAACATAAATCGCCTGCTATTAATTTAGAAATATTCGATTAATTTTTATCAAGCAGATCAGACCGTACGGTAATCGATAAGAATAGACAAGAAGATTCACCATGCACCGATGTAACGGTCCTTTTCAAACGTGACTCAAAATGAGCAATTTTTTTCAGGGGATTTCTAAAAAATGCAATGTAACACTTTTAATGATCTTTATAAGTGAAAATAATTCTTTTGAAAAATTTACCACATACTTGAATACAGCAAGAAAAGAACGAGTGGACAAATCCTTATAAACGATAGTGGACACAGTTTCTCTCAATGTTTTCACCTCTTTTATTCTTGTATTATTCTTCTTTGTACTTTGACTTAATTTTTGTAGCAATCTAGATCCTTTACACAACTTTTTACTATTTTTCAACTGTATAACAGAAGTTGTATTGAAAATACCAGACCTACCAAAAGTTAGAGTGAAAATCAGTGAGATCCTCGTAAATTGTACATTTTTCAGGAACGTTGAGAGCCCCTGGCTGTGTGTGTTTATGATGGGATTTAAAGGAGCATCTCTCTTTCCTTCCTCCGACACGGGAACGGGTGAATCTCTTGGTTTTTCAGTTCTATCGGTCTTATTGGGCCTTTTTCTGCTCGGACGCCGGGGCGCCGGGGCCCGCTACGGTATGAGACGGGACGCGCCGTCACTTCCTGCATACAAAACTGAAGCACCATTAACATTCTTCTGCGGTGCACGATCGGCCGTATTATCTTCTACCGATATAAGTATGTATATACACGTGCATACGCATACAAAGAAACGCGTGTACTCGCATACTCGCGTGGCTCAGTCGATGCCCTAATCTGAATAATGCGATCGGCCTGCCATGAGTCTTCTTGCTTCTCTTTTTCATCTTCGTACGGATCACGCGATGTCCATGGCGAGTCGATGCCTCGCTTTCGATATGTACCCGGTGCTGGCAGTGCTCGAATTATCCTCTCGTCTATGTCGCTACGAAACAGAGAGGAACATCGTCGATCCGTGTCACTGGTACAGATCGATACAGTTGTTTCGATGTTTGTCACTGGTTCGACTTCGCGCTCCATGGAGCCCGACACCTTAAAGAACGATATGATTCAAAGCGAATGAATTTGTAAGTAATTATTTGTAAGATCAAAATGCATTCGAGAGTTTCCATCTGTACCAGCTTGAATAGCGAAATATTACCGTCTTTTTTAACCTTCAAACGTACACGTTCACAAAGGCGATAAAAATTTAAAATTTAAATTCGAGTACTATTCGTAGGATTCATAGTATAATGTTGCCTTTTAAATCGTATAAAGTGAAAGATAAACGTCGGTACTTCAGATTCTAGTTTTATTAGCAATGAAATGATTATTTTTGAATAACGTAAAATCATTCAGTATAAATATGTATATCTTATTTGGATATTAGTTTAATGCGTCGAAAGTTTATTAGGGATTGTTGATATTACGTACTGATACATAACTCCACTACTATCATCGACACATAATTCTCTACTTGTTATATTGCGTAAGTATGATATTCGACGATTGGAGTTTATGTTGCACGGAAATAATCGCGATTCACTAATTCAAATCGATGAAACTAGTAATCGATTCATATTTTCTCGTTTCTTTACTTTACTAGCGTCATCTAGCAGACATTGAAAAAACTTCGATATACATGGGTATTGCAGAAAAGCGATTCTTTTCAATTGTGCATCATGTTCTGTCTAGGGAATAATTGAGCCGGTGTATTGGCAACACTCGTACTGTCGTTGGTAAAGCGAATTCTGGGTAAAATAACGTGTGTCGTGTCGGCCGTCGCTGTAAAATTTCATCGGTGGGTTCATTAAAATAACGATTGCACGATAAAAACGAAATCCTAGAATTTAATTACGTAATTTCTTCATGTTCTTTCATCCGTTCGCGTTAAGATCAAATTTTTTGTCGCCTTTTAGATATCGAATATTTCGCCTCGGCAGTAGCTACTGACCGAGTGTCGTTTACAGACTTGTATCTGCGTGCTTGCGTGAGTGTAGAAGACGGTTCTGCATTACGTACCCTCCGTTTTAATACTATTGCTCATCTTTTTTAATTTTAGTCCTATCGCAGTAATTAAGGCCGATCAACGATGATTGACCTTACGGTGAAGACCTTGGATTCACAAAATCATGCTTTCTCTTTGGAGGACGATGTAAGTATTTTTTTGTCATTTTCGGACATTGAAGTCCTATCCTGTATGTTTTTGATTAACGATATCGTTCATTATATTATATTATATTCTCAAAAAGTATCGCTCATGATTATTCATCTACTTGCTCATACTATTTTTACAGTGCTGTACATTCCAGAACCAGCACTTACCATGAATATGATTTTTTTAAATATATAAGCTATTATTTTTTCACTCTTAAAAGCTACACTTTTTAAGTTATTTCTGCAGTTTTGTCACTCCTGCAGCATATAATTAGTTGCCTGGTGCATTAGTCTTTTGATAATTTTAATATGTGGTGTTAGGTTTATACAGTTTTGCATAATGTTTATAAGTACAACATTATACAATATTATATTTTCTTTGCACCATAACTGTTTTAATGCAATTCATATTGTATAATATTACTAAAAGGGAATAATTGAAAATGTAATGCATGATGTAATAATGTTGACTAATGTGAAATGTTTATAATAAAGTATGCGTTTAAACTTTTATTTTATTATGTTGGCAAATAGTTGATACATTTTAACATATCTCTACCAAGTATTGGCATATGTTAGATAGGATCAATAAAATCACAAACTGATTATAAATAAATTAATGAATATAAAGTATTTAGAAAGTATTATAGTTATTGATTCTTTTTTATAGCAAATTACAGTTAGAGGCTTTAAAGAATATATAGCAGAGACAGTAGCTGTACCTGCAGATTCACAAAGACTTATCTATTGTGGTAGAGTCCTTCAAGATGAGAAAAAATTAAATGAGTATGGTAAAGGATATTGTATTATATTATAATTATGAACATAAAATTGAAACATTTTAATAATGTAAATATTCATTTTAAATATTTATTTTAGATGTTAATGGAAAGGTTATACATTTGGTACAACGTGCACCACCTCAACATGGTCAACGTGGAAATGATGGAGGTCAAAGTCAGGGTCAGAATCATGGATCACAAATGTGGCAAAATCCACCAAGAACACATTATAGAGTTACTCGTACTCAGATGCATGGCAATGCTATGTATTTGGGTGCAATGTCAGTACCAGCTGAAATTGTGGAAGGTCATGGTACAATTATCAATATTTTCATACAATACAACCTAATTTTAAAAATTGTGTTTCTTAAACACTTTATATCATACTTTTCATACAGTATATTTTGCAATACATTTTTTATTTTACTTAATAGGAGTGCCAGTACCTCAATTAAGCAACAGTTTATCAAATGGTCGATTAATTGCTGCAAGACACATGCTTGAACGTGCAGATCGACTTATGGATAGACTTGAAAGTCCATCTCGTCCTACCAATGTTTCTGCACCTGAAAATAATCGGCCGTATTTAAGTCAAATAGTGCAACAGGCAGAAGTAGAACTACTTAACAGTTTCGGTAATAACGAAAATCGAATAAATCGTGATGTCAGATTAGTAGGAGCTGTTGCAGCTGCAATTGCAACATTACTTAGAGGTTTGTACATAACAAATAGCACAAATTAAAATATTTTATACCAATTATTACACACATAACTATAAATTATAAAAATAGGAAATAGTGATGACGGTGTTGAATCAAGGCCAGCAGCAGATACTAATGAAGAGAATCAATCAGATGCTCAACAGCAGCCGCCGCCACCACCACCACCACCACCACCACCATCATCACAACCACCACAACCACCACAACCATCACAACCATCTCGACCATCGCAACCATCGCAACCATCTCGACCATCGCAACCTTCGCAACCATCGCAGCCATCGCAAGCACCGCAACCTGAACAACAAGGGTCCACATCAAATACTGATGGACAGTCTAATAGACGATCGCAACAGTCAGGATCTTCTTATGCATATTTTATAGTTTTATAGTAAAAGATTATATTGCATAATTAATGAAGCTATTGTTTTTAGACTTCCACGATCTCCACAGTTGGCAGAGTTATTAGATATCTTACTGGATACTCAAACTCGTTTGCAACCTCACGTAGAACGTTATCTTATGCTCATGCGTGACGATCCTTCATTACCTCCAGGAGTAAGTACATAATGTTTTTAAACCTATAGTGCGGATATAAATGATTTCATATTTGAAATAGTTTGAAACGAAAAACTATTAATCTTTAGGGAAGACGTGTCGAAGAAAGCCAAACATTTGTGGATGGAGTTAGCGAATGCTTACATTATATGTCTCATGCTTGCCATGCTTTGAGCGATATAATTGTTGATATGAGTCAGCAACCGCCTAGAAATTTGCGATGTAGACCAATTATTATTCAACATTCAGCTATTTTACAGCCCGGTATACCAATTCAGGTAGAGGTGAGGAAGAGTGACTAATAGTATTTCAATTCTGTTCCATGTGTAATAAAATTATTTTATATTGTGTTTCTATTAGGCTCATATTAGTTTACGCGGTCTAAATGCAAATAATAATAATGGTAACGAAGAGAATGGGGACTCTGGAAGTACACCGGCACAATCAGATACAAATGAAGCTAGTACTGAAGATACAAATCAACAACAAGAATCTGAATCCAGTACTCAACAACAAGCTGAGCAACAACAACAACCAGAGCCAACACAATCTCCTTTTGGTATGCGCAATAATTTTCTTACGATTAACGAAATAAATTATTTGGATAACATAGTTAATTTTATGCTCTAGGTACAGTGTTTAATTTGCCGAATAACGTTGAAGTATTAATGGAAGTCAGTCCTGAAAGTAACATTGATGCTCCCTCAGGAAGTGAACAAAATCAAACTGGTGAAAATAATAATAATAACAACAACAATAATAATAATAGTGGTAAGTTCTCATTAACAATTTCAATATTAAACTTGCTTAAATGTATATCCATATAATTATTGTTTCATCGATCTTTTAGGAAGAGTGGGTGGTTCTAGCGGTCCATTTTCTTGGGGTTCAGCTCCTGCACCTGATTTCATACGAAATTTGATGCAAGCTGTTGCTGGTTACATGGTACAAGGTGGTATTACTACTACAACAATTACAACTCGAAATCCTCCAACAATGGGTCAGCAAACTGTTGCATCGATTGATAGTAGTGGAAATACAAACGCTGGACAAAGTACACAAGCGCGGTGTGTATATTATAATTTTTTGTATGGTACTATCAATTCTTACTGCTTTTAATTTACACATTATGTATTATTACAGAAGCAACGTTTCTACTCATCCTACTACAGCAACGCAGACTAGAAGTACATCACGACCACATGTATTTCATCAACAGGCTCATCCTTTAGGTGTTGGGATGAGTATAGGACAAGCATTTGATTTTGATCCATTCCTTCCTTGTAATTCACATCATATTCGCCGTACGTCGACTACAACTTCTAGTACTGTCACTTCGACGTCACAAGGAACACGAGCAAGTCAAACACCCACAAGTGACATTTTGACTCAGGCACAGACAGGTATACAATTTACATAACTATCAAACAAAAAATGATATGAAAATTGTAAAAAATTATTATGTTTTAGCTACAACTTCAAGTGCACCTAGCAATATCAGCTCTACAAATACTACAGCATCAACAACGTCACAAACGAATATAATACATGACACTTTGGACTACTTATTGCAACAAAGTTTTGCAGGTAGAGGTATTTCAATTGGAAGTGATTTAACACTTGCAGAAGAATTAGAACGTAGAGGTTTTCAAATCTCAACTCTCTTTTCCACTGAAAATACAGAGACTGAAGCAAATTTCCTCGTGAATTTATTTAATCTAGTGGTAATTAAAAAATATTTCTGTATAATTTACGTATGTAATGTTTATTTTAAGCTTAAGCGAAATATTTTCTTCTTTTTAAATAATTTTTTAGTTGCAAAATATAACGTTGGAAGGTTTAATAAGATTACGATTCGGCCAGTGGGAACCAATTTCTTATCTTAGAAAACCATTACAAGAATTTTTCCAACAATCTTTTCCAAACATTGCACCTGAAGTACTTCAGGAACAAGCTACAGAACGATTGATATCACAGTTGAGACGTTTCGAAAACTTTTTCAACACAGAAGAAGATATTCATAGCAGAAGCAGTTCTCGTGTGGATCTGTATGCCACTGTGGGAGGTTTACTTCGTCGTCATATCAAAGATATATTACAACACTTGTTTAATAATGGTATTCTTGTATATTGTTCACAAGTTTAATTTTTATCTTAATCAAAGTTACTATAACTTATCATTTGTTTCAGACATTGATGATGCTAGATTCGGACAAGAAATTCTTAATATTGTGTATATTACAGCTAGACAATTATGTACAATACTTCGATATTCCATTCGTGGTGGTCAAGCAGAATTAGAACTTGCTGCAGCTCGTTTCATGGTATGCTACATATTGTAAATGACCTAATAAATGATACACATGTCTTGTGTTCTAATAATCGATTTTACTCGTTATATAGAGTGAAGTATTGGATGATCTTGATCCTGCACTACAACGGAGCATGATGAGCTTATTTGTTTCTCAGTTTCGTAGTTTCAGTTTGCACTACACACAACTTCCAGATTCAGAAATTCTTCCACTTCTAGTGTACAAGGATGCACCTTCTCAAGCATCAACGGTGCCTTCGGCTCCAACGCATCAATCTTCACAACAAGCGCAGTCTGAAGCGGAGGCAAGTTACATATATATATTTCCGTGGAAATTTAATAAGTTACATAAATTTAATAATTAAATATGTATTATAGCCTATGGACACAGAAGTTGTAGAAGAAAGAACAACTTTTGAAGCATCTTCTCTACCAGAAGATAGAGAAGAAATTCCACAAACGTTCCCAGGTCATGAAGCACTACCTTCAGTAAGTAGATATTTATGTAGATATATGAATTTGTATTATAGGCAACAATAGCATAAAAAATTGCTCGTTTTAGGATTGGGTACCAATAATTGCTCGAGATGGAGTAAGGCAACGGCGCCAATTACAAATGCAGGGTATGACAAATGGTGGTGTAGCTACATTTAGCGATGCTTATTTAGGTACACTGCCTACTAAGAGGCGTAAACTTATCGAACAGCAAAAGCCACGATTGTTAGTTAGTCCTACTCCCAATCATTCAGAAATAGCGGCATCTATGGAACGTTTAGTAAGAGAAGGAGTAACTCGAGCCGGTGTCGAGGAAGTTGAAGGTGCTGCAGTCGCGGTAGCTGTCGATCCCGGTGTTAGACGTGCATTTGGTCAAGCAATCAGAGATTGCTTGAATCCCCACAGATATGGTACACCAGATTTTCCAGACCCTTTACGTTTCCCTAATGCGACAAACTATTTTGCTAATCAAGATAGGCCACAGAAATAATAATTATAAGGAGTATGCAGTTCATAATGGCTTAGAGTATTTATAAAGGAGAAACCAGGTAGCGTTAAAAAAGTGAGAAATTGCAGCGACCAAGGAATATAGAAGATATATTCACAACATATAATCACAAGTATCATTAGTAATTATGACTGTATACGTCAGTTTAATGCAGTGCGATCATTTTGATAAATCCTAAATACTTTCAAATATCACACAAGATATTACGTAAACTATTTTGGTTTGTTTAATCGATATAGCATGTAGTTTTGCAAGATATTAATTTCTCAATATATAAATGTGTTTAATAATTAAGAGTGTACGTTTCTATGTTATTAAAAATTACAGTAAATCGGCTACACTTGCTCTCTCCCGTTGTACTCTAAGCATCAATTGACCCCAACACGACACTATATTAAAATACTTCTTTCATATTAAAGCGCGTTTTTCTGTAGAATTATTGTTATGCAGATGAAATGTATTATTCTTACTCAAATGACACCTGTATAGGTATTATACAGATGGTAATGTGTATTATCTTACTTGTGACCTATGCATATTGTACGCTATTTAAGTGTCGTCGATATTAAAACGATTTTTTTAATATTGATTTCATCTTTTTAATGCCGATGACACTACCGATCAATAACTGTACTAACTTGTAGTCCAATATTCGGTTATAAGGGGATAGAGAAAACAGGTATGGTGGCCATCCATGGTAGTATTAAAAAAAGGAAAAATAACAAGAAAATTGATTAAACAATTTAATACAGCCCGCTATAACCACGAATTATCCACGGTTATAGTTTGTACCACGTAAGCTTTGTTGAATAATACGTTAAACTTTACCCAAATAATGTGTCTGTTTGTAATTTATGTAGATAATTAATTTCGATTGTGCAGCGTTATTGAATACAGAAGCGGGCTTTTTATACGAATCAAGGTATTGTGTTTTATGTACAATTTTGGGAAAACTATACGAAAATGATTTTAATCGTCTTGTAACCAGATTTCACCAGTCTTAAACATGGAAAAGAATTGAGTAGCCTAATAATGCGAAGGAAAAACAATTCCAAATTATACGTTAGTATTAATGTTAAGAAACATCGTATATGAATATTATTTGATAGATCATATATAATGTTAATAAAGTAATTGAAGTAATTTTATGTGATCATGACTTCGATTCTGATGTGTCCATACCAGTTATTGTTTTCATAATTAACGTAAGTACTGTTACAATGTATAGAGAAATAACTCTGCATAATCTTAAAAATATCAATATTCTTGGATAATCAACAATAGTTAAAATTTGATCTCTTATCTACTATAAATAATTTCTTAAGGAACAACATTATTGATGACGCATTATTTTTAACAAAATTTTCTTTATTAATAAACCAAAATTCTTTTTATGATTCTTTTACGTTGCGAACAAACATAATCCAATTCGTCAATACTGCACAGTTCAATCAGAATAACATTCCTTCTACAGTCACTTATATTCGTAGCATGTGTATAATTATACTCAAAGTAATAGATCGCGAATAAGACATTTTGACATGATGGAAACCTTAACTTTTAAGAAATAGAAATCTTTTTTGTTAATTATAAAATTTCCCTGAACTGTCAGTTTATCGTTTCCGCGTTTGTGCAACTATTGCCATCTATAAATTTCACCGCAATTTTTTTCATATCTGCTTCGAAGTTCCCAATCTATGTGCCCTCGTATTACACATGTTTTCCCGCTGCTTTTGTATACTCTTATTTCACTGAATTTTTACGGTAATGATTAATCGGTAATTTAGCAATTTATGAATGAAAAGCAAACATTTTATTCATGTCAAAATATCGACGATATACTTTTGGGTTTAACAGAGGGGGGAAAAGGCGTTCATCTGCTGAAACGCACTTGAAAACTCTTCTTGTTGACGATTGGTTTCATGAAAACGTCCGTTTGTAATGCTACCTCGGTAACGCCGCGCAAATCGTGGATAATTTCTACTAAGGGAACGATCTTAATCATTCGTATTTTTCGATATCTACCGTTTATAAAATTCATACTTCATGCATGAACGCATCATCAGTGTATACTCAGCAAATATCCAACAACGCTATCGCGTTATTGTCAGCGTACAAAGTGTTCGCGAAGAATTTGCGTGAAACACCGCGGAAAGCGTCTTTCAAACAAAGCGACCATAAACACCGTTCCGTTTACATACAACGAGACACAACGATATTGACCGAGTTAACAGTTTGCCAACCATTGGGGTCAATCTACCATTTTCCACGATATTATTCACAGTAAATAACATTTCATTTTCTCATATCATTCTAAAAAATGTTTCTCCACATTACTTTTCGGTAAATACAATAAACTATTTTCAAAGTTCACGTTGTTAATTTTCGGAATACATCGGTAACTCTCGCCGTCTATCTTTCTAAAATTCTTTAGAGATATCTACTCGAGTGTATATCTCATTCGGTTGACAGTGTGTTAATTTGTCGGGATTTAGAGGCGCCAAGGCGAATAGAATCCGATTAGAGATCGATCGAGGGCTCGAAACGTCGAACGTTTATCGAGGATTAAAAACGTTTATCGTCGAAACAACGCGTTAGATTGTTTGACCATGTTAATTGTTTATTCACGATAAGCGACACCGGTATAGACGTTCGACGTGTACAGATGCGATAAATCACTTATCGCGGCCAGGTAAACGTAGATAATGAAATTGTCGCTTCTTCGTCGTGTTACGAAATCGAAGTCAAACATCTGGAATCGGCTGAGCTCTCTTTCCGAAAGTATATTAGAAGAATACGACTACTGGATGTATCATTGTTACTTTTAAACACGATTGTTTCGTTCGATAATAACGTTCGTTAGTTTGGACATCTTCAATCGTACATAACCTCTCAATTTTATAAATACAGATTAAAATTAGAATCAACTTTATTACGAATACATATAATCTGCACCTCTCTGTATGCTAACTGTAATAAAAAAAAAATGTATATATACTGACCGATGTTACAAGGTACCGCATTAACCTTACAGTTTATAGTTTATCATATAATAAGCTGGAACAACGTATTTAAAAACGGTCCCACTAAAAAATGTAAAAGAAGAAAGTGAATGATTTAATGGCAAGGGTGGACGGGAGGTTCGCGCCAACCCTTCTTGTATTTAGTTAAAAAAATAGAAAAAGGAAGAAAAAAGAAAAACGGATTTCCCTTCCTCTACCAGTTGCCACTCGTTAATAGGCGCTCGTTAATATTGCGAGTGCCACTCTAGAATATCGAGGAGAGGTTTCCACTACCTTCCCTCCCTTTTTTCAGCATTTCACCATTCGCTACCCCCCCCCCCCTGGTTCCCCCATTCTCTGTCTCTTTCACGCGAGCGTGCCCAGGTAGTTTCTCTTTTTCACTCGCCGCAACACGAGCGTTCGTCGGATTAAGGCATAATGAAATTACGAGGGTCACGTCATTTTATAAAACGATCGTTAAACGTCGAGAGTGTTCGCTTGCCGTGGCTCTCGTCGAAATGACACCGCATTGAAAACGATCGATCGAAATCTCCGGCAAAAGAGCTCGGGGCGATGATGGAACGACATGACGAAGAGATGATGGAGGAGGAGGAGTAGGAGGAAGAGGAAAAGGAACGAAGGGTGGAGAGGGGCAGACCGAATTTCCGTAGAAAGGAAGAAAAAAAAGGGGGGGAGGGAAAAAGACAGCGGGATAAGTGGAATTTTATATACAATAACGGCACGCTAATAAATCGAGCCCCGGTCGATTATTAATTTAATCTAGACATTTTGACGAAATATATTGGAATTCCCTAAAATATCAAGCCAAAACGATGTGCATTGACACAGATTGTCATAAGTGCACGCGGAATTTTATGAACACGCGCGCTTGTTAACATTCCATGTGCCAAAATTCATTATAATTTATTGATGCGTCAAATATATCCGCCACTCTCGCCTCGTTCGTCCCTCTTCAAAATAACGAGTAAGATATATATGTATATATATACATATATATTTGTGTATATTGTATATACATATACATTGTATATATGTACATGTATGCATATGTGTACATGCGTATATCGGCGCTGTTTCAGTTTTCCTTTCAGTTTTATTTTCAATCGTTGGCATACCGTTTTCGCGCGCACCGTGACACGGCCAGCGTCGATTTTTCGCGATTTCGTCAATGAGCGGCGAGAGGTCGCGCCGAAACGGGCCGTCCGCGTGTCGCCGCATTCGTAAATACACTCGTAACGATATAATTGGCCGCGTCGGCGTGTATCCATTATATATCTGGCGCCGACGCGTCGCCATTGTTCTCAAGTTTTATTAATATTATTTTTCGACATTATCGAACGTATAAACCGTCTGACCAGAGGCGCTGGACATGGAACGAGAATTGATTGATAGTTTCACCGTCTAGTAATCTCTTAATACGCGGCATCGACATTCGAAATAATTTAACGAAACAGGGTGCTGGTAATTTCATTTGCAAATAGACATAGCTTAACCTTTCCCACTAATTTTACTCTCTTTTTTTCTCTACACTTACACCGGACGAAAGGTGGCGAGTGTAACGTACGCAATGTCTCTTTGTAATGCAATAAGATCGATAGCGCGGATGTTACTCTCCTCGACTCGAATAAATCCGTGACCGTATCCTAGACACAGAAAACAGTCGGGAGATAAACTTTTTCACGGAGGGGATAACACCTTCGTTGCACTTGTCAACGAAACGGTCGGGCTACCAGGAACGATATCGTCGAATGGACCTCCGGCTGCTCGTTGTCGCGGCTACGAACAAGAGGATTTTTCGGAGTCTGCGAGCGAAAGGCGTTGGTATTAATTGGCTGGACCAGTCCGTGTGGAGTGGACCGACGACGCGAACGGCAGACCACCACTACTTTTAGCAGCGTAGCCCGACGGTATCACCAGCACACACTATTGCCAACCCACACACATACACCATCCCATCGTGCAACGCTATTCTCTGGGTTCGAACGTTTTTCGTGGTCCCCGTGCCACGGAAATGTTCGTTCATTTGGTGACCGTCTCCTGCCTCCTCTTTCTTCTTTCTTCCGCGACCCCTGGGGTCGTACCCTCTTCCTTCTTCGACCCGTAGCCGCGCGGCACGGAACTTTCGAGGAGAGACCAGCGGGAGAGAGTATAGGCCGCGCTCGCTTGTAGCAGTGTCTATACACACGAATACTGGAACGTAGAAAGGCATAATAAAGGTCGGGGGAACGGTCCGCGCGGACTTAACAGCCGACTGTCAGCGCACGCTCCATATGGAAGCCAGTTGGTCG